AACATTTCCTTTCTTTTGAACTAGTTCCTTGGATAAATTCTTTTTTTTTTTTTTTTTTTTTTCGTGACCGGTAAGGGGAACGCAACCCTTGGCTTGGTGCCGTCTGCACCGCGCTCAGCCAGTGAGCTCACCGGCCTTCCCTATATAGGATCTGAACCCACAGCGGGAGCGTCGCTGTGCTCCCAGCGCCGCACTCTCCCAAGTGTGCCACGGGGCCGGCCCTAAATTCTAAAGGCATTTGTTGACAGCCACAAAACTCTGAATGCTTCTTTTTTTAAAAAAAGGAGGGGGAATCAGATTCACATTTAATATTTTCTCTACTATTCCAATGCCAGTATTTCATCATTATTTCTCACTCTTTTCCTTGAACTTGTCATTATAGCCATTTCCTCTGCCTTTTGAGAATAGTTCTCAAATTTAAAAAATCCTTATAAGAAAACTTGTAAAATTCTCAAGATTCAATCAACAGAGGTTGGTCTAAAACACTATTGTTTCTTTTTGATACACAGTACAGCCAAAAATTTCCCTCTGAGTACTGCTGTCACTGCATCTATAGGTTTTAGTATGCTTTCATGTTCACTCATGTCAAGGTATTTTCTAATCTCACTTGTAATTTCTTCTTTGATTTTTTAAGAGTGTGTTTAATTTCCACATATTAGTGAATCTTCCAGTTTTATTTTATTATTGATTTCTACTTTCATTCCACTTCATCAGAGAAGATATTTTTAATAATTCCAATCTTTTAAAATTTATTGGTACTTGTTTTGTGGTCTAACATATGGTCTCTATCACAATGAATGTTCCATGTGACTTGAGAAAAATGTCTATTCTGCTGTTGATGGGTGTTCTATAGATGTCTGTTAGGTGTAGTTGATTTACAGTGTTGCTCAAGCCCTCTGTTTCCTTCTGTCCAGTTATTCTCCCCATTTCTGAAAGTGAGGTATTAAAGTCTCTAACTATTATTGTGGAACCATTACTCCCTTCAATTATGTTGGGTTTTATGTCATATATTTTCCAGCTCTGTTTGGCACATATATGCTTATAACTTTATCTTCTTAATAAATTTACCATTTTATCAATATATAATGTCCTTTGATGTCTCTTGTAATAATCTTTGTCTTTAAGTCTATTTTGTCTGATATTAGTACAGCCACCCCACCTCTCTTTTGGTTACTAGTTGCATGGAATATATTTTCCCATCCTTTCACTTTCAACCTATTTGTATCCTTGGATCAAAGGTGAATGTAGACAACATACAGTTGGATCATATTGTTTTTATCCATTCTATCAATTGCCTCTTTTTAATTAGAGATTTTAATCCATTTACATTTAAAGTAATTACTGATAAGGAAAGATTTACTTCTGCCATTTTGCTATTTGTTTTCTACATGCCTTATACCTTTTTTGTTCCTCAATTCCTCCATCACTGCCTTCTTTTGTGATTGGTTTTTTTTCTAGTGCACCATTTTTATTACCTTCTCATTACTTTTCTGGATATTTTTAAGTTTTTACATTAGTGGTTATCTTAGAGATTACAGTAAACATCTTAACTTTGTAACAATCAATATTGAATTTATACTAATTTATGTTCTTTTATCATCATAGATGAAGATAAATCCTTGGTTTATTTCTTCTGTTCTCAATCACTGAAATATTCATTAACATACCATGATTTTCAGCTAATGTACAGCATAAACTGTAGACAGATCAGAGTAACATTTTGGAAGAAAATGAAGGTAGTATCTTAGGTGATGTATGTTTATAAATTCATTACAGAGTAATTTCTGAGTTTCTAATGCATGCATAAATAGAAAAATACCTCTTGACACATATTACATTTATATTTTGATGAGTAAAAATTAGGATGTTGTATATACCTTTGAACATTCATAAATATGCTTTATCTACACAGGCAGTATATTAAGGTGATTCAGTAACTTCTGTATATTACATAAGGTCATCTGAATATATTATAGCAAAAGATATCATAATATTTGATAAAGAAAAAAAGCCATAAAATTATAGAACCAGTGACATTTCCATATTATTTATATTAAATAATGTTTCTTGCTGTTTTCTTACAGATATTTGAAAGTTGCCAATGAGATAATACTTCATTTTACTCTTTTAAAAATGGATTTAGCATGTGTTAAAAATAGATTTCAGGTACACGTTATACTTTAATCAAATTTACATTTTAAAAATGAGTTAGATAACCCTGTAAGAGAATTATACCAGGAATTTCCCAAAAAGAGAGTACATTTGAAAACTCTAAATTTCTCCAAGAAGAATTTACTATCTTTTATCATCAATTACAGATTAACTTTTAGAAAAAGTACATAAAATGACAGGGTATTAATTAAATGGATAGGGTATTAAAAAAAAAAACAGAGTGTCAAATATTTCAGAAGAAGTTCAGGGCCTACAAACTGCCATTTGAGTTTAAGTGAGCCTCGGTCTTTCCTTCCAAATAAAACAAAGGTAATATTTTACTAACAGTTGTGTCTAAGAAATTTGGCTTTGGAAAAGAAGAGCATGCGCAGCATATTCTTATTGGATTCGGTTTTACCTTCATGACTTGATTCTAGCCAGATGAGGAAGTTAGATGAGAGATTAGCTGAGTGGACCAAGGTTAGTCTAGTTTCCTTTCAAGGCTGTCTGTGTTCAAGGCTAGTCTCTCACAATAGTACTCATGGCAGCTGAAGTACACAGTTATCAGTCCTTCCAGCAGGACCTCCCTATTATTCCCTCTCATCCTGTTCACATCAGTTATCAGTTATCACAAAAAGCCCATGACTCCCGGGTCATCCCTCATGATCTGGGTTCTTGTCCCCACAGGGTCTGAGTACATCCCCTAAGCTGACCTCTTATCTCCGACCCCTCCCCAAGAACTCCTTCCACTGTGCCCTTTAAGAACTCATGGCATAGCTATATTCTCAACCTCTTCTCTGAACATTCCTTCCTCTTGCCCTAATTCAGTGCTTTTCAACTGAGGAACACCTGCTGTTATAAAGTGAGAAATCAGTGGTGTAAATATGAAAATTCTGAGGACATTATTCTACAGGGAACCTCATTCATCAAATGTGGTGCTAATATAGAACTTAAAAGATAATACTTTGTACCCCCCCCCATCTTTTTTTATTAAAGATAATTACACTGAAGCTATGGATCTATCACAGTTGCCATGAGGAATTTGGCATGAAATCAACACTACTAAAGGCATTTGGCTACTGAAGTATCATATAGTCACTTAGCAAAGGATTGACCTACAGGATAAACACAAACTCTGTAAATAGCATTTTCTTTAATGTTTATGCACACAAACAGTGAGCTAATAAGTTAAGCTCTCACTTTAAGACTGCTCCATATGAAACAGTTTACTAATTGCTTTTTCGTTATGCTATGAATCAGTCTTTTTCAAAAATGTCACTTCTTCTGAGCTGAGCCTGGACCATGCCCTGGTCTCTAGTCTTTCCATAGGAAAATGTGGAACACAAACCACTTGATTCTTTATATATTTACTTGGTCCTTCTTGGTCTTAACTATAGTATGAAAAAATAAAAAGACCTGCTTCTTTGGATGTATTCCTTTTCCTAACTCCAGGGCCCCATTTGTATAACTGAATCCAGATGTTTCTATCACAGTTGCATTTGGTATAAGTAGGAGCCAGCAAAACTGCATTTTACGTTGAAAACCTATACCTCATCTCTCTCACTTGATAAAAGTAAATATACTTTCAGGGTATGCAGAAACTAATAGATATAGATATAGATATATAGATATAGATACATGTATATGTATATGTATATGTATATGTGTGTGTATACATATCTTTGTACACACATCTGCAAATGTACAAACTCATTTCTCTTACATACTTAAAACCTGGAAGCACATCACTACTGATTGGTCACATAATTTTTAAAATAGTGTTCTTTGTAGGGAACAAAATGTTTTCTTGTTTATTACAATCTAGTCTTGCCCATTATCAAGTTAAACAACATAACTACTTTAATCCAAAAATAATCCAAAAACTTTATTTTAATCTCTTTCAGAGCTACTAATAAGCATAATAATTTTAATTATACCAGGCTTCGTGGTTTCTCTCCTAGGTCTCCTGGTGATGTTGCTACAATCTAAGCCCCATAAAAGAAGTCTATGTAGATAAAGACATAGATATATTTCCAAAGTCTGGTTGATGGTCCATATATAGCAAGGAACATTAAAAAAAAATAAATAACAGAGCAAAAGAAGAATTCGGAGTGTTTAAGTTCTCTAATAAAACTTACTGTGAGGTGGTAAAAGTGACCTCGAGTGAGTAAGGAAGGAAACAGGGCAAACTGATAACATACACAATTTGAAATTTCAAGCTAATGCACAGCAAATTTCCATTTTCAACTCCTCCAGGGAAAATTATTGGCATAAGACATAAAATTTAATTTTAATCATATAATATAAAGATGAGGTGACAAATGAGAAAGGTTTGGAAATGTTCTTAGCAATACGTTAAGGCTGGCATATAATAGCATTTCCCAACCACTAAGCCCTCAGGATTTTAATTGGTATTTTATAAATAAAGAGATGAATGGTCACACAAGCTAGGAAATGTCCAGCTTTAACGAAATTGACCAGCTTTCCTTACTGTAGGACTTCAAAGCCTTTAGTGGGCTCATACGCACTGTGAGTCTCCCAGAGGGGATACAGGGGCAGCAGCCTGCAAATGTGTCTTACCACAGAGCCCTACTAATATCTCCCAGAAATTATTTTATCACAAGTAGTTTGGAAAAGAAAATATATAGGTGTCCCATGCAGGTGGCTAGTGAAATTCTTCTAGGGTCAATATTAAGATTTTGACATGGCACAAAGACTAAATGCAACCATGTATTTATAACCCAGGACTTCATATATTGAATATACATATTCCACTGACAGTGGATGAAAGGGGGGAAATGGGGGCAGGCAAATGGCATAGAGATTTTCTGCCTACATTTCTTACACACCTGTTCCTGTAGTCTGAAATCTCCATAGTTAGGCAGCTGAGCTGGAAGCTTGGGCTGAGTGCTGAGCTCACTGTTTACACTGTGATAGGAAATCTGGCAGACAAAGAAGCAGACTCATTCATTAACAGTGACTTGAGAATTCCCAGTCCCCCTTGTCAGATCCTCAGTCACTAAGCTCCAAAGCAGGCAGGCAGCCCACCTCAAGCAGCTCAGATGAGGACTGCTGATAGCAGCAGCACATTTCTTGACCAGGGAGGAACTATTGTCATTTGTGCAGCAGGAGAAAGGTAGGTTGATTATAAAAGCCCTTTCATGCATTCATCCAGGTGGCTCCCAAGCCCCAGGCTTGAAACCAGCAGCTAGTAGATAAGCACTTCCAGAATGCTTACTAATTTTGTTGTAATAAAGTCCAGGTTTGCTGTTGTTGCAAAGCAAGAGCCTCATCTCAGACTTCACTTTGGGAGCTGGCTCTACTATTTACTAGCTATGCCACCTTGGGTGACATGCTTAACTCCTATGTCCCAATTTCCTCATCTGTAAAAAAAGGATATTAGTACCTACTTCATGGAGTTTTTTGAAGATTAAATAATGCATTAAAAGCACTTAGCACAATGCCTGATCTATTGTAGATGCTCAATAAACAGCTAATAATCCAAATAAGTAGAAATTATAACCAAGGAAAGGCTTAGGGTAGAGCTAAAGTTTGGCATTAGATACACAGCAGGAACTCAATAAATATTTGTTGACTGATCAACCAATATCTCTTACAGCCATGCTGGATACTGGAAAAGGAATTCTCACTTGTTTATATGCAGGTCAGGAAGAACTGGGCTTTTTACTACCCTTCAAACTGAAGCAGGAAGCCAATACCTCATGGTATTTGCATCTCAAGGTTGAGTGGATGCTAAAGACCATCTAATTCTCTGAAAGAAGGACAAGCAAATGTTAAAAGTGCTTTCAGTGACTCAGGGAGTCCTGAGATATGCAGTATGGGAAGGTATGCTCAGAACCACCCAAAGCAATGAAGTAGAATCTAGGACTGTCTATAGAGAAATTTCCCAACATTTTTTGCCAAAAGTCAGAAAGGGTCTTTAAAGATAGAAAGTTTCATCAGCAGCAATTAATGAAAGGCAGAATCTGCAGCACTGTATACCACACTCTGTGGATTTGCTGCTTGTTTCTCGTTTTCAACTTCATAAGAAGTGTTGATGAATAAGGCCACAGTAGCACATGTGAATAAGGCAGAATGAACTCACAGGTGAAACAGAGTTTGGTGACACACTCTCTCAATCCTGCTGCTGCAGCTTACTGTTCTAAGGAAAAGGGACAATACCATACTAAAGAAAGCACCATGGGCCAAAACCACAGCACTAACCCCATGTTGATGACCATTTACTTTTAGTTTATGTAGCATTAACAGAGCTCTTAAGATGCTGATGAAGGGCTGGCCCGGTGGCGCACTGCTATAGTGCGCCGCTTGGGAGCGCGGTGGCGCTCCCGCCGAGGGTTCGGATCCCACATACAGACCGGTTCCCGCTCACTGGCTGAGCGAGGTGCGGGTGCAACACCGAGGGTTGCAATCCCATTGCCGGTCCCGGTCCAGTACGGGCGCGACACTGAGGGTTGCAATCCATTGCCAGACACGAAAAAAGACAAAAAGGAAAAAAAAAAAAAAAAAAAAAAAAGATGCTGATGAAAACATAGTCACCCAGACTGCACATACTGTACAGAAAAGCCACATCCCCCCCTCCAACTGGAGAGACAACCCTCCTCTCTGTATGAAACCCACAAACAACCCCAGACAGCCAAGAGTGAACTAGCATGTGTTTGCTTGATGGCTTATGGAGGAAACTTTCCCTCTTCCACATGAAGCCAGGGGGCTGGCTGGATGAGAAGAAATTAAACCACTCTCTGCTGTCTTTGTCCATATATCGTCCTGGGAATCTGATGGGCCAGTTCTGTGGCAATCAACGCTTGCAAAGAAACATAGTGGTAGGACAACTTCCCTACTACCAAACAATGTACAGAAATCAAATAAGTCTCTTACCTGTGATGGACAAGGTCTCGGAGGGAGTGCAGGTGGTGGGGGTAATAATCCTGACTTAGTAGCTGAAAAGAAAAACATATACTGTTAAGAACCTCCCCTCCTCCCCCCAAAAAAGAAAAAATTCTTGTAGCACTTGTTAATTAGGAATAGCAATGGCATTTGCATAGACATGTTTAAGTTTTTTAAATCCCTCTGAAGGCTTAATTTTAAAAGTTTGTCATTTCTAATCCCTTTTTTCATTTTCATCCTACCCAAAACCCAAGTATTTACATAGGCTGTTATGACTGAGACAGTGTAAAACAGTAAGGAAAAGACACCTTTTGATCAAAAGATTAGAACCCAGCATGGAAAAGGTGGTCAATTCCTCATTATTCCAATGTTAATTATTTCAAATAATCCAGGCCAAAAGTCAGAAAAGGTCTTTTCTGGCCTCTCTCATATTTCTCCCTAGCTCTCAGCCACTACACTGCTCAGGCTGCAGAAACTAAGGGAGCCAGAACCTAAGGAGGTAGCTCGGCCACCCTGTAAGTGCTCCTGGGAATGGGTCTGTCAGCAGCTGGGCAGGCCAAAAGTGATGAACTGCAATGATAGCGAGGGATTTCTTCAAAGATCTAAATTTCTTTTTCTCTCCCTGATCCTTATTATCAGGGACAACTAAATCTGTTTCTAAAATAGTCTGACCACATTTGAAGGATCTTTTGAAAGAAAATTTCAGTCTAACTTCTTTTTAATTTTGTGAGATACAGAGAATATTTGAGTTAAACCAAGAACATCTGAATTATAACTTAACAATGAAAATAAACTGCTGCTATGGAATTATAGATGAGGTTTATAATCACACAGAAGAAGTTAAGTTTAGCATCACACACTGGAAAGTTAAACCACACTCTTTACAAACTCCTTAGAAAAACACCATGGTCTATATAACTATATGTAGTTTATGTGCAAATCTGTAATCTGCGTGTTAATATTCGAACAGTTTTCTGTGCCTTAAAAAGTCATAGCAATGAACCAAGAACATGAAAGCTTTTGCAAATCACGTTTGATTTGCCCTAGTTGGATGAGACAAGCTAGTAGATTGAGTCTGGTGCTTTCCACAAATGTAACTTAGAGCAATGTCACAGAAATTTTCATTCTGAGCCAGTGTACGGATATAGTACAATCATGCAGGCCCATCTATGATTTCTCTCAATCTGTCTTTCATTAAAATTTATGAAACACATCAGTGGTCAAAATTCCAGAGGTGGTGAGCCCTTGAACAGCCATCAATAACAAAGCATGTAGCAGGAGAGAATGACAAAAGCCCTCAGGAATTATACATCTGAGGGCCCCTGTGCTATAGGTCCTCACAGATTGGGCCTTTAAATTACCAGTTACTTTTAAAACAAAATGAGATGAATAAACAAAATTGATGAATGCTTCTAAGGGAAAGGCCAAACAATTGCACCAGAATAAAGTGTGTTAATAAACAATCCTTTATTAACAAAGGAAATGATGAGCCATTTAATTAAATTGACTGCTGCTTCCAGCCAAGATGGAGTAACAGAGACCAGATTTACCTGCCCATTTGAAACAACCAACAATAAACAAACAGAAAAAACACATGAAACAACTGTTTTCAAAACACTAGGACAAAACATATACAACAGCTTTCAAGACACTAGAAAATCAGGCAACAAAAGACGGTGATTTCTGAGAGATAGGAAACAAACAAGGTGAGGCCTGTGGCTGACTGTCCTTGCTCACTGCCTTGAGAGTTACTAGAAAGAGGACCTCGATCCAGATTCAAGTCTGATTAAGCTTCTTACTATTATTTAATTTTTAAGAAGAGAAATGCACTATTTTTGAAAAAGATGATGTGTGGGCATGTTTCTGAATATACTTTTGGATAAATGTACATCACCTATGACACTATTTATCGAGTTCATTAGAAATTGCCCCCTGCTAGCCAGCTAGCTCAGTTGGTTAGAGCTCAGCCTTGCAACACCAAGGTCAAGGGTTTCGATCCCCGTACCAGCCAGCTGCCAAAAAAGAAAAAAATAATAAATATTGCCCCAAATATGAAGGAAAGATGGGGTAAAAGATTGAGGCCATTTAAAATGGAATCCTATCTCAGTTTCCCACAATTAAGCTTCAGGCAACAAAACAGTATCACAGGCATGTGTCCACTGTTCATTCTGAGTCTTTAAGAGTTGATATTATTTTCCTCATTAAATTCCAAAAAGATTGCTTGGGGAAAAAAGCCCCCCAAAATTATATCACAAATATTAGCAAACATTACACAAATATTAACAGCACTTGTTTCCTCTTTTCAGTACCTTTACCACTTTTTTTTTTTCTGGTCTTATATACCTAGCCAGAATATCTACTATAAAGTTGAATTAAAATGGTGATAAATGGGCATGCTCATCTTCTCTCAATCTCAGAGGGAAGCATTCCCTAGTTCACCAAAAAGTACAGTGTTTGCTGTAGGTTAGTTGCAGATATCCTTTAACAGATTATGAAAATTCCCATCTATTCTTATTTTGAGATTTTTTCTTTGTGTGATTTATTTTACCTTATCAATATACAATGAAGTTGATTTTTGTGTCTCTTTACCAATTCCTCCTTTCCCCCACCCTCTCCCCCCGCCATCAACTCATATCTGTTCACTTGTCTTGACAAGCTCAAGGAATTGTGATTGCTGTGCCTTCTTCCCCCCCCATTTGTTTATTTGTTTGTTTGTTTATAGCTCCCACAAATAAGTGAGAACATGTGGTATTTCAAATACCCATCATCAGATGAGTGGATAAGGAAACTGTGGTATATCCACACAATGGAATTCTACTCTGCTATTAAAAAAAATGAAATTCTACCATTTGCAGCAACATGGATGGAGAGAAAATTATATTAAGTGAAATAAGCCAGGCACAGAAAGAGATTTTTTTTCACGATAATTTGTTGTTTAGTTTTAACCAAACCTGCAGTTCCATCCACTGTGGTATGATGCTTTTCTTTATAACTTGTTAAAGTGGTAAATTAATTATGGATTTTCATATATTAAAACACCCTTGCAGCCCTGGGACATAATTTCAATTTGGTTAGGTTTTTATATCTGCTAGATTTATTAAGTTGGCTAATATTTTGTTTAGGATTTTTGCAACTACATTCATGAGTGAGACTGACAAGTGATTTTCCGTTCTCATATGGTCCTCTGTGGTGCTAGATTCAGCTGAAGACTGTTCCCCCTATTTATACTCTAGAATAGGTTCTGTAAGACTGGAATTTCTTTTTCTTGAATATCAGGTAAAAACTTGCCAGTAGAGCAATCTGGGCCTGGTGTTTTCTTTAAACAAGATTTTTCTTCTAATTTATTATGAATATTCATGAGATACAAGGCTGATCATCCCCCCTCATGCCCTAGATGTGAAAGCCAGGTCCATACTGGCAGCATGCCCATTACCACAAATTGCGATTTTACCCCATGTTCCCCACCCAATTATCCCCAACCTCCCTCTACCTTCCCTTTCCCCCACTCCATTTTCTATCCCTAGGTGTGTTCTCTCCCTCTGCAAGTCCAACACAGCACTGTGGTGTTTCTTTCCTTCCTTCTTTCTCTCTTAGCTCTCACTTGTGAGTGAGCACATGTGGTATTTATCCCTCTGTGCCTGGCTTATTTCACTCAACATAAGTTTCTCTAAGCTCATCAATGTTGCTGCAAATGGCAGAATTTCATTCTTCTTTATGGCAGAGTAGTATTCCATGGTGTATATATACCACAGTTTCCTTATCCAATCATCCATCGATGAACATTTAGGCTGGTTCCATATCTTGACTATTGTATAGAGAATTGTGACAAACACGGGAGTGCAGGTATATCTTCAACATGATGATTTCCATTCCTCTGCGTATATACCCACAAGTGGGATTGCTGGATCATATGGAAGATCTATCTGTAGTCATTTGAGAAACCTCCACACTGTTTTCCACAGTGGTTGTACTAATTTACAGTCCCACCAACAGTGCAGGAGCATTCCTTTCTCTCCACACCCTTGCCAGCTTTTGTTATTCACCATCTTTTTGATTACAGCCAATCTAACTGGGTGAGGTGATATCTCCATGTGGTTTTAATTTACATTTGCCTGATGACTAGTGATGCTAAGCATTTTTTCATGTACTTGTTGGACATTTGTATGTCTTCCTTTGAAAAATGTCTATTCAGCTCCTTTGCCCATTGTTTAATTGGGTTAGTTGCTTTTTTACTGTGTAATTGCTTGAGTTCCTTGTATATCCTGGATATTAATCCCTTGTTGGATGCATAGTTAGCAAAAATTTTCTCCCACTCTGTAAGGTTGTCATTTCACTGTGTTGATTGTTTCCTTTGCTGTGCAGAAGCTTTTTAGTTTGACTTTTGTTGCTTGTACTTTTGGGCTCATGTTCATAAAGTCTGTGCCCAGACCTAGTTCCTGAAGTGTTTCACCTATATTTTCCCTTAGTAGTTTTACAGTTTTGGGTCTTATACTTAAGTCTTTAATCCATTTTGAGTTGATTTTATATGTGGTGAGAGGTGCATATCTAGTTTCACTCTTCTGCATATGGATATCCAATTTTCCCAGCACCACTTATGGAAGAGGCAGTCTTTTCCCCAATGTAGATTTTTGTTGTCTTTGTCCAATATCAGATGGCTATAATCTTTAATCCATTTTGAGTTGATTTTAGTATGTGGTGAGAGGTGCATGTCTAGTTTAACTCTTCTGCATATGGATAATCCAATTTTCCCAGCACCACTTATTGAAGAGGCAGTCTTTTCCCCAATGTATGTTTTTATTGCCTTTGTCAAATATCAGATGGCTTTAAGCCTGAGGGGTGATTTCTGGGTTTTCTATTCTGCTCCACTGGTCCAAGTGTCTATTCTTATGCCAGTACCATGCTGTTTGGGTTACTATAGCTTTGTACTATAATGTGAAGTCAGGTAGTGTTATGCCTCTGGCTTTATTTTTTTTTTTTTTTGCTCAGTATTGCTTTGGCTATTAGAGTCTTTTGTTGTTTCATATAAATTTTAAGACTGTTTTTTCCATTTCTG